CCCCCCCAAATTGAGGTCAAGGCGCCACATGTAACCGTCCTTCCTCACGCTTCCTAGATTGCGCCGGCTGTAAGGAGGAGATCAAGCAGGGACAGTCGCTACTGGCCTTGGAGAAGCAGTGGCACGTCAGCTGTTTCAAGTGCCAGTCCTGCGGGGTCGTGCTTACTGGGGAGTACATCAGCAAGTACGTGCAGCTGCGCAGTCGCCCCGCTGCTTTTATGCGCCCAAAGTGTCGCATGCCGTCCGACCGCTTCTCTTTCATAGTTTTCCAACTGTGAAGACGGCTGGAGTGTGATTTCTGTTTTTTTTTTTCTTCCCCATGCTTCCTCGTTCAGGGACGGCATTCCGTACTGCGAGGCGGATTACCACGCGCAGTTTGGAATCAAATGCAGCAGCTGCAGCAGATATATCAGCGGACGAGTGCTCGAGGTGATCCAGAGACCACATACCCTACCGGGAATGGAGATGTGACCCCACTCTGCTGCTTTATCATCTCCCACTTAACTGCGGCAAACGTGACCCAGACTGGCGGGATGTCCAGAATTTGACTTCTGCATTTTATAGTGAAATCTTTGTTCTACACAAAATGTGTTAATTTCTGTTTGTTTTGCTTTGTTTTTACTGTAAAAAAAAACCTTTCTTGACATCCTTCTGTGGTTGTCATGGAGATTCGGAATTTTATTGGCACTCACTCAGATCGTAATCATCTATTGGCTGTTGTTTTTGGCTCAGTCAGCATTGTGAAGCCGTCCTCGTGCTTGTTTTGAAGTTAAGATAATAGACAAGATACATATATATATACCTTTACAGGTTTGAGGCAGAGTTTAATGTCCCCTTTTATTCAATTAACGAACTTTTTCGGAGCTGGCGACCGAGATAAAATTAAAGCTATTGGAGATTGTAGCTTGGGATGTGGCGTGTGAGGTGCCGCTTAGCCAGGAAAACACAGATTGAATCGGTGTTCGGAGATGTGCGCCGGCAGACGCCAGGACGCCCTTCGAAAGTGTCAGGGTTCTGCTGACTGCACATAAGCTAAATGCGCCTGCACCCCACACTGCGGTGGGAATATGCCGGAACGTCACCGGGAAGCGGCCATTGGAGTAACAGCCTGAGAGAGAGAAAGAGAGAGAGAGAGAGAGAGACTAAATACTCAAAAACGGGGCTACGATTTAAAAAAATCAGCTTCGGACAGTTGACAAGAGACAAACAGCAAAACAGGATGCATAACCTTTGGTATTATGTAGCTAAGAAAGGCAGAGTTTAAGCGAGAAGAGGCGAAGACTCATCGCTGAGGCTCGGACGTCGGCCAGATATCGAATCACGCTTTCTCTGTTGAGTCATGCTCTCTCCCCGGGGAGTTGACAGTATGCTTCCCTGTCTGTTGCATGAAAGTGCATCCTTCATCCAGGGCCTATTTGACCTTTCTGCAACAGTAGCACTAAAGCTAATTTAAGGTGTTCATTAAAGAGCAACCGTAGACGGGAGCGTAGATGAAATTGGTTGACTTCAGGGGTGGGGTCCGAATACCTGCCCAGAACATGGTTTTGGGCCACTTCTGGGTCTGTTCCTGGTTAGAGGAAGGAACCAACACCTCCTCACACCTTCTCACATCTTCATTTACCCATATCCTCACGCCCCACGTTTTATCCCAAAGTCTAGCCTTCTTGCAACAGTTTAGTTCCAGGATTCTACATTTTGGCGGGAAGCTCTGCCTCTTACACAGTGTTCCTTCTTCCTCTTTCTTGGTTCTTGGATCTCACCCTTCCACCGCTCTCCCTTGCAGGCCGGAGGGAAGCACTATCACCCCAGCTGTGCGCGATGTGCCCGGTGCCAGATGATGTTCACGGAAGGAGAGGAGATGTACCTGAGAGGTGAGGAGCACAGATCTGTGTTGGGAACTATAAAATGAACCAGACTGTGAAGATGTGTGCTTTGTATGCTGTGTCAAGTGAAGCTGATTCGCCATTATCCACATCATCACATTACGCTTCACCACGCCTCCTTCTTCAGTCTACCTGGCCCAGCAACTTACGGGTGTCAGTCCGCTCATGGGGTTTTTACTAAAATCAAAAATGTTCTGAGGGCAGGATGAAAAATGATTGGTTCAGAGAGATAACCAATCAGATTGCAGAGGAGGTGGGTCCAAGCAACTAGAGGAGGCGGAACCAGCCAATCAGATGTGTGATCTGTAATGGCTTAGTATCAGATCCAGAGTGTCTGTGGCTGTGTCCAAATTCAGGGGCTGCATCCTTCTAAGGCTGTATCTGAAGAGCGAATGTGTCACTGGTGCAACCAGGCTGCCCCGTCTCAAAAGCTCCTTCACATGCAGGCTAGAAATGCATCCTTCTTTTGCCAAGTCATGAAGGATCCACCTGGTCAATTCTTCCCAGCCCAACTTATCCCATGATGCATTGCGCAGGGGTAAAGTGGGCGTGTCCCAGGTAGACAATAGGAGCGGCGCTTTGAGACTCGAGGATAAGGGCGGGAACAGCTGGTGACACAAATAGGAAATTATTGTCTCATTTGGTGACGCTTTCCATTTGCCTTTCAAAGAATACAGCCTGCAAAGGCTATGCTTTTATAGACTGCGTTCTTCAAAGGATGCACCCCCTGAATTCGGATGCTGCTTACGTCTTGTGCCCAGTGCATTCTGGGAAACATTCCAGGCCTGCTTCCGTCCTGTATTATTTAAGTAGTTATGGAAAATGGATGGATATTTTGCAGTTTATAGCTCCAAATTTAGTTTATTTGCTATATCCTGACTAAAACTGGGCTAAACTGCGACTTCTTTGAAAACCGAACAAGTTTCTTGATACTGCATAGGCAATTAAAAGGCCAATGCTTTAAGGGCTGAGGCTATCGTCATTAGCATCACATGAGGCGGTGGAAATGTCCCATAACGAAGTCATTAAATTGGAGAAGCCCATCCCTGCTGCACAAGCAGGCTAATTTGGAGGATTCAGAGGGGAATTTAGCCCATAAAATATTTCAGATTTGTTCACCATTGATTTTATGTCTTGAGGAAAATGTGGTTAAGGGTTCGCTATAAGACGGATTGAATGATTCAGCAAAAATAGCAAAGTAAAAGAAACCCCTGAGTGATCACCTGAAATATTGACCCGGAGTGTGAACAAATTAGAATTCATCGTGTTTATGTAAATAAGCTGGCGCTGTTTGTTTGTCTTGCACAGGAACATTGATCTTACTAGAGTAATTGTTGCATTTTCAAAGTAAAGCAAGACTGCTTCTTTATAAACAGCGCAAGCGAGTCCCTGGGCAGGACAATGAACCTACCACAGAGATACTAACAGAAGGCTTAAATAGTTCCACTCAAGGATCCAGAGGTCTGCATTCTGATTCATAATCATCTTCTCTCACTGGACCCTAAGCAATCCTAGCTGTTAGCATGTGTTCTCAATCTTGATGGAGATCATCGGCAAGGACGAGGTCAGGGTGATTTAGTGAGTGACCTTGACTGTAGATGCTGGATGATGTAGAGTATTGATTTATGGACTCCACACACATTGTGCTCATCTGTGGCTTTACAAAAGATTTATGTGGCCAAATGCAGCTCTAAATAATACTCAGGTGAATGAAATGTAATAACACAGCGACAGCTGGTAGTAAGTCGATGGAGTTATTAATACAAGATTTGGTAACAATCTACTTAAAGCAGTCATCATACTGCATTATAGATACCTTCATAATGCATTATGATGCGTTCGTAAAGCATTATAAACAGGGATATCATTATTTATGAAAAGGCATAACACATTATAGCCCTGTTTATTAAGCATTATGAATGCTCTATGAAGCTCTCATCCATAATGCACTGTAGATACCTTTATAATGCATTATAATGGACAGTATAAACATTAAAGATGCTTTGTACTGCATTATGAAGGTATCTTTAATGCATTATGATGACTGCTTTAAATAAAAAACAGTTTTATTATTACATGGAAACACAGATATGATAAATAAGAGAATCAGTATCTCACACCGTCCAGATCCTTGTGAGTATGTGTGTTGTGGGAATGAAGGAGACAGACTTATGGCCTCGGTTACTAAAGCCCCTCTGCCCCCCTCCCTGGCAGCATCCTGACTGGTGGCTGTAACTCCAGGCCCTGATGTATGGGCTGTGCTTTGGCAGAGACAAACCTCGTAAATTAATCAGCCCATGCAGAGGCGGCCCTGATGATGAGACGCTTAACATGGTCGAGAGGGGGACAGATTCAGAGCAGGCGGTAATCAAGACGTACCATGGTCCATGTCAAGGCACTACTCGCTATATACAGAGAGAATTTGTTACTACCCATCTGTAGCAGCTCTGGTAAATATTTTGAAGACCCCTTGCCCTCCCCCCCCATTAAAATAATGATCTTAAAATCAAGTCGAACTCAAGGTCCGTTTTTTTATTTTATGAGTGGCAGCGGTTCACTGACAAATGTGTCAGAAGCAGCGATGAATAAGCCATCATTTTCACATACTGCTCTGTAAACGTCGAAAATAACCCCTTCAGTGTGAATAGCTCTAGTAACATCTGCTAGCAGCGATTCTAAACCTACAATCCACGTTTTAATAACACTAATTAAAAAAAACTGTCAACTCAGCAAAAGATTTCATTATGGTTTCCTTGTTAACTTATTTATGAGTTGTGTGTGTGTGTGGGTGTGTGTGTGTGTGTGTGTGTGTGAGAGAGAGAGAGAGAGAGAACTCACTGGTTAACATTATGAAGCGCTGTACAGTTTCAAAGTTGTCAAATTATTTTGTTGACCGGCACAGTTAAGTCTCCCGAGTCTCCCGATTGGCTGTGACTAGGTGCCGAGTCTTCCGATTGGCTGTGACTGGTGCCGAGTCTTCCGATTGGCTGTGACTGGTGCCGAGTCTCCCGATTGCCTGTGACTGCTGTTCAGCTTCAGCTCTTTGGTGCCCGGTCACCTCAGGATTGGTTTTGGGCCATCAGTCCCAGTGTTTGAGAGCCGGGGTTGGTTTTGCCCCCATTTCGTCATCTGCAGACGCGTCCAGATGGAAGAAGGCCTCAGTGCAGCTTGGTGAAGGAAAGAGAACATGCCTGACCATATGTTTCCCTTACAGGCTCGGAGGTGTGGCATCCACTGTGCAAACAGGCTGCCAACGCGGAGAAGAAGCTGAAGGTGACGCTTTTCTGCTTCAAAATTACGTAGAAAAACAAAGTACAAGCTGTATAATTCTGCCCTCTCCTTCCCACAGCAGAGACGCGCCTCTGACGTCTCCATCTCACCGCCAGGCTCCAGCATCAGCTCCCCGAGCCGGGCCATCTGTGTGAGTGACGTCCACGCCGCCCAATCGGACGCTTCCATTTAGGTGCTGCGCGGTATCTCCACCAATCCCGTGAGGAGAGCCGCGGCCCCATCAGCGTGCCTGATCTGCACCCTATCAGATATTAGGGTGACACGCTCTGATGCTCACCCTTTCAGGAGAGGAGCTTGTCTACGTTATTTTAGCTTTGGTTGCCCTGGAGACATGCGGAGTATTTTGTTTCCACTGAGCACAGTGATAGAGGAGAAGTGCAGTTCCGCGATTGAAATCTCTATCCATATGGAAATAAATGCCATCCATCGATCTTCCACCCACTTATCGTGGTCAGGATTGTGGGGGGGGGGGGGGGCTATTCCAGAACATAAGGTAAGAGGACACCGGGCTATGGCACAAGGCTGCTGTATACCATGGAAGAGATGCCAGTCTATCGCAGGGTATATGCACACACACAGACTCACACACTTATGGGCAATTTAGAGACACCAGTTAGCCTGACAGCGCGGAAGGAAACTCTCTTTCACTGTCCTTTTAACGGCCAAAGCCCTCCAAGTCTAACTGCCCTCAAACCTTCTTTCATTCTTTCACTCTGTGTGTGTGTGTGTCTCCTTGTTTCAGGCCAAACTGGAAAATGAGATCTTTAAGTACAAAGACTATGATGCTCTGTCTAAGGTTAAGCCTCTGTATGACGGCCGGAGGCCCAGTCTCACGTCCTATGAGCCCTTTCACAGATACGCCTCCAATGACAGACTGGAGCGTTACAGCTACGGGGAGGTACTGCTGCAGTGCTACAAAGCCCTCACTCTGCTGCACGTGCATGTCCCGCCGGCTCAGCCCCCACCTGCATGCCCCCCACCTGCCTCGTCTCTGTGCTGTCGACTTAACGGTCTATGGCTTTGCGACCGCTCTGCATCACAATGTGCTCCGTGCGACGTAGAACCAAATCTACCGCTTATATTTTCCGGCAAATGCCATACAGTGGATAATTCTTATTTTTAAGAAGGAAATTAAATTTTATTTTTTTATATAGCGCCTTTCACAACAGAGTCGCCTCAAGGCGCTTTACATGGGTGTGTTGTGATACATTACAGCATCACAAATTTGTAAGCCCTCTGATTGTAATGGTGTCAAAATTGCTAACAGTCTTAGTAACAGTGCTTTGAGTATTGTGTGATAATGTTAATGTTACGTTAACACATGCACAAAGTGATAATTCTGAGATAACCTTTAAGTGAAAAGCTTCACAAAGCCATTAAACTTACATGACTCCATGTTTGCTGTGTCCTTTTCTAACTTGCTGAATTAAAACTGCCGCTGGGTCACAGTGTTTTCCCCTCTCATAATCCACAGAATGCATGTATTCATTCTTTTTAACGATTAACACCCGCGAGAGTAATTTCAACACCGAATGTGGAGTTATTGTGAAAATATCGGTGCCAAAGATGCTACGACAAAAAATGTGGACACCTTTCATGGTTCCACACTGATTAAAGACAGATAAATCATGTGTTGGTCATGCCAGGGGAATTCACTGGACACATAGGAACTTCTAAGTCCTATGGCTGTGTGCTAAGTTCCTTACGTTCCTCTGGCTGAGGGAATGGTGTCTTCATCTGGATTCCAGTAAGCATGACAGGTTTTGGTAATCGTTAGCAAAAGTCGGTCACCTGTGTGATCTCGGGTCCTCACACCAGGTCTTATTCTCTTATTCTGTTGTGCACCCCGCCCCCCCCCCCCTAGCCTCTGGGGATGCTGTCTCCATACTCTCAGGTAATTACCCCTCACCTGGAATCCGGCACGCCAGCGTTCTTCTTCCTTTGGTATTAGATGGGCTACCCTTGAGTCTGGACGTGCCTCCCTCTGTGGCCTGTTACACATGTGCGCAGGGAACCGTCAACAGTCCTTGAAACGTTTCCTAATGTCGAGCATTTTTCAGCGCGAAACGTACGTGTTATTTTGAACTCCTGAGTGAGCTTTGATAGCAGTCTCTCGGAATTCGGTCACTGTCTTTGTGATTGCAGCAGGTCTGTCTGGATTGTCGCCATCAGACAGCCATTACGTTTGTGTGAGTGTTGCACGGTCTTACGTCTGTATGGTCATATCCCTTTGAGCATGGTTAGGTGATTGAAATCCATTACATTGATCTTGTACCTATGCAAAGAAATGCGTCATATAGGAGGATGCATTTCCTGGCTGTCATTTCCAAACAGAAGGCAGCTCACATGATGCTTTCTTGAGGACCAGCTCCCTTAAACTGGATTTCTTTGTTCTTTGGTAGGAAATTTATGACAGTATGGACCTGCGACATCGGCGATCCTCCACCCCAGGGTACATTGACTCCCCCATGTATAGTCGCCAGGGGTTGTCCCCCACACTTCCCCGCTCCCCTCAAAACTGTTACCGCATGGGTGAGTCTGCATTGGAGGTCTTCAGTCAGGGGTTGGTCTTCACTGAATATGGTAGTCTAAGAGGACATTTCTTTTCAGTCAGTAACTTTGTGTCTTTCCTAGCTTTTACGCTCAGTAGACACCCTACACGTTAATACCTGCTCGGCGTACACTTTCGGCTGATACTCAGAATTGAGGGGCGGGTTTGAGAGCTGTCAATCACTCTCCTGCGCTGTCATTGGTGGGTTGGGCTACAGGTAATGAGAGCGGAAGGAGTTCTCCTTATTACGGCCACATCGACGCCAGGGCCCGCACTCCGACTTCGTACCAGACGCCCAGGCATTTCCACGTGCCAGGTAGGTCCCCAACCCCCCCCCCGGGTCCCTCCCGCCATAGTGTCCCGGCTCTGCTCAGTGACGTGACATCCCCGACAGGCTCTTCTCCGTCTCTGTCTCCTGCTTCCTCCCTCCGTGTTTCGTCCTTCACGTGTCTGTGCCTTCGCCGACCAACTCCTCCCGGTCCGCCGCGGGCTGCTTGTGCTTCTTGGTCCCGGCTATTGCCTCTAGCCATTGGTGTGGTGATGGGATGCCGTTTGGGCCCCCCCCCGGGTGTCTCCCAGTCACGGCACAGATGTAGCAGCAGAATGGGACAGAACCATCAAGCCAAAGGAGGCTGAGGTACATTTATACAGCCTGGCACTGGGCTCCTGTATCAGGTCTTACCCAACGGGCAGAATAGTCATGAATTTTATGGGAGCTGCATTAGTGGCACTGACAAATGCGGCCTTCCTGTCGTCCGTCAGCGCACCCTCGTTCCTGTCGCTGTCACCTCTCTGCCGCATGCCTGGCCACACCAGCCTTACGGGGCCTGGAGTTCCGCAGCTCCTGAGCTGCTGACTAGCCGGAATCTTCTACATCCCGTGTTTGTCATTGGAGAGCTGCCACCATCTCCCCCGTTCCCTTAAAAATCGGAACTTATTTTCTCTTGTTGTGTTGTTTGCTTCCGGATCCTCCTTTTTTTTAAAAAAAATCTCCTTTCTGCTATTCCTTGGATTTTCCAGGCTATAGGAATATCCCAGAATTAACTAGCAAAAGGCAATAAAGTCCCATTTCTTTCCAAACCCCCCCCCAGCCCTTCCGAGTCAAGGCGTTGCCGTGTAGAGATGCAGGTTGTTTTTTTTTCCCCAGTGAAAACCAGTTACAAGACATACGGAAAACATACTGAAACTGGGACTCTGAGATATGAGTGATTTATTTAACAGCTTAGAAGGTGCAATACAGAGATGCAGGGGTTGGTGCCGTCTTTTAAAGCCGCGTTTCCCAATCCGGTCCTCGGGGACCCGCAGACAGTCCACGTTTTTGCTTAGCAGGGAGCTGGGAGGGAGCAAAAACACGGACCGACTGTGTGTCCCTGAGGACCGGATTGGGAAGCAGTGTTTTTAAAGTGCATATAGCATATATTTCCAGCAGCGGATGGAAATTTGTGCTTATCGCATTTCAGGAGCTTGTGTCCCTTTCCCGACTAATGTCTCCTCCCTGTTTAATGTTCCACCCTCCATTCTTTTTCTGTCCTCAGCCACTGGGGAGACCAACATCTACAGGAACCCTCCTATCTATAAGAGACATGGTACGGTGTTGGAGATGTGATCACGCTCCTCTCCAAATGAGCTCAGTGCTCACTTCCTGTCTCTGGGGAGATGCTTGAGAATCTAGTGTGTGGAGTTGTGGTAGCATAACTGGTACCTTCTCCAAGTCCCCAGTGCACTGTTCTGGGGGACATCTGTAGATCTTCCTATCATCTTATAGTTAATAATATGGACAGAATCTAACATGACATGTGGATCGTGCATAGCAGCAATGCATTGTGCTCTCTGCCATCTTGCGTTTTCTTTGTGCATCCTGCATGTCTGTAGTATAAGAGGAAGAGAGACCTTTGCTTAACTTCTGCTGGTCCTTGGATGATGTTAATAGCACGTGCTGGTTTGGCGGGGGTGCAGTCCAAACTTCGTAGATGTTTCTATGCGGCTTTAGCATTATCAACTGCATAAATCGCTGCATAACGAATCTACGTGCTGCGTGGACGTTTGCACATCAGACACTAGTACGTGCGTCTTCTTCAGATATTAGATCATAGATAAGGCATTTGTCTAACATTATTCTCATTTATATGCATAATAGTCTTTTTCTGGTGGAAACTGTAAGAGTGCATCTTTGCATATAAATAGCATGTCTTGGTTCGTGTGCTGTGACATCACTGAAGGCCTGTTGAGTTACACTGTGGCTGCGTCAGAACCGTATAGGCACATTTGTCAGTGGACAGACGGACCAGTGGGTTAGGGTTAGGTTTCCTCGACTCCGAGTTGGACAGTGGGTTTGGTTTAACTAATCCTAGAGCCAAAATAGACATACTCCCACACATGAGGTGTTTCTCAATATGCATACTTGGCCGTGCTTGTGTTCTCATGTACCCGTTTTATGACATGTTCCATTTCTGAAGACCAGTTCCAATACTAAGAACAGAAGTACAGAGGATGATAAAAATCCCCAGATGTCGTTCTTGCGCCGCCCAAATATCAAGGATACACCAGTTGCATCCTTGCCAAACGAGACCTATCCCATGATTCATTGCACCCCAAGTTGGAAGGAAGGCAAGTCAGAAAGACCGGTCCTGCCAAGACCACAAGTACGGTCTTTGCGTTCTTGGCATTGAGAAACGCCCATGGTCAGTGCTATATGCTGCAGACGAAGAAGAAATCAGAAACGCTTATAACTGCTTGAGTTGTTTACTCAGATGTCACAGCCCTTCTTAATTTGTTTGACGCAGATGCTATAAATACTCTGTGAATAAACTTCAGTCTTTCAGACGGTAGCTGGTACAACGAGCACAGTTTGTTCTATTGCACTGACTCACCAGAACACCATCCACTTAGTCTATGTTCTTCTTCTGATCTTCTCCATTTGTCTTTTTGATGTATATTTGCTGACTTCCTCTCTGCCTACCGATGGACCTCCCTCCGTAAGTATATTTGCATCCCTTGTACCTTCCATGCATTCAGTATCTCTCTGTTTCCTACACAAATCTACATGCCTGAGAAGCAAAACTCACAAATTTGAGTTACCTTTTCCTGTTTCGTTTCACAGAGACATTCTCCCTGGACCAGGTTCTTTCTTCCACCTATTTTGTGCACAAACATAGTCGTGATTGATGACTAGGCATGATGAATCACTCAAATCTCTGTGTTTTTTTTTTTTAACAATATAACACCCATTACCAATTTTCCTACCCGTCTAACTTTACACGCATGCAATAAAAATACATTTATTCTTGCTTTTGGTCTTTGACTCTCTGCGATAATAAAAGTGAATGCTTTAGCATCGTATTAGAGGCAGTAGTATTTGTGTTGGAAACAAGCTGCTGTCTCTATGTCACACACACAAACACAAGCATAACTACCCTGCTAAGCTGTAGTGGGGTCATTTATGGCCTTCAGCCCTAATTTGTCCTACATTGCTCAATTAATCTGTAAAGCAGGATCCTTGTCACAGTTTCCGCTCTTGCCACCCAAAACAGTGAGAGCTCACCCTCTTCTCTAGTTTGTTCCCACACTGCTGTCAGTAGCTACTGTAACAGTCCTGTCTATTAATTATCACCTGATTCACTCCTGGTGACATTCATTCGTTGAACAAATAAACACTTAAAAACAGATGCAAACGTCACATACGGTGTTTGACAACATGTAGTCAAATACATTTCTTGTTTTTATCATCTTATATTCATTTCTTTACGGCCATTTAGTTAGTTACAGTATCTATTAACTTATTCAGTGATAGTTTATCGATCTATCTATCTATCTAATTCAACTTACGATATTTTCTACTTATGATGGGTTCATTGGAACATAACCTCATCGTACATCCAACAGATACTGACTGGGATCAATTAGAGCTTTTCTGTGGCCTTTGGGTCCCTCTGAATATGTGTAGCAAATGTCGCAATTCAGTTCATTAATATGTTGCAATCGTCGATATGTTGTAATAAGTACTTCCCTGTTTGCTGTTAGCCATATTTTCTTGTTATTCGTCGATCACACTGTTTGTTGTTCTCTGCTGGCCTTTTCTGCCTAACATTCATAGGTGGGTAGTTTAGGTCCAGAGAGTAAAGGTCCAGACCAAGATTTTGTTTCAACCAACCAGTCGAATACTCCGTGACTGTGACTCCGTGACTGTGACTCTGTGACCGTGACTCCTTACATTCCACTGGTTGGTTGAAACAAAATCTCTGTCGGGACTTTTACCCTCTGGACCGGATCTACCCAACTCTGCACACATTTGCTCTCTCTCAGTCTGACCCATAAAAGGCAGCTGTCCTGTGTGGGGGGAGTCATCTCTTTCACTGGCTCCCTTTTCTCTGCAGACCACCACCCACGCCCAGCGTCCAGGACCCAGGCCGGCGAAGACGCCCTCCAACCTTCCGAGTTCCCCTCACCTTACTATCCTGACCTCTACCATCCCCCCGAATCCAGTTACTACTTTACAGACTCTCCCAAAGGTATCTCTTCTCCTCCGTTTGAATGAAAACCACATTTAAACTATTAATTACTTCAGTCCAGTGATTTTTTCTTTTTTTGTGACCCCCCAGCTGCAGGTTAACTGCAGATCATGTCGATTTAATGATTTATTGGCAGCCTATAACAGTGCTTCTCGCTGCCGTTCGATCGGAGCCCTCCCGCAGTTCTTAAAACTCACCTCTGCCTCTCCTGACGAATAATAATTAGGCTAGTCTCGTTTAACCGTGGACCCAGTGCCAGGAAGTAATTGTGATTTTTTCAGCCCCCTCCCTGGGCTCAAATTTTCATTAAATAAAGTCAGCTGTGTTTCTGGTGGGGGCAGTAGTTTCTGGTAGTTGCCTCCCCGTTCCAGGAGCTGATCTCAGATGGGGTGGTTCGCACTGTGCCTTGCTGATAAAGGCCTGTCATGTGCACGCAGGAGTAATTGCTTTGATCCAATCCAATTACGACGTGCTCTCCGCACGCTGCACTTCCCCTCTAATTCCTGCCACCGCGTTCCGCTAGATAAAAGCCAGAACCATGAGATTGCAGTTCTGTTTGTTTTCTAGCAATCGCGTCTGCCGTGGACGGCTGTCCGGCCCCCTGCCACTTTGTGCTTTTCGATTTCAAAAAAACACACAAGATCTTATCCACCTAAAGACTTTTACATTTGCTGGAGATTTAATTTGCTGTTTTTCTTTTCTCTCTCCTTCCCCGTATTGCACTTTGTTTTCCTGAATTATGTGTTGGAGCTCATTAGCAAAACACAGGGATGACAGATTAATGTTTCCCTTTCAACAAATCGGCCAGATTTTTATTTAATAGCGCATTTTCGCCGGTGCCTGCCAGTGATTTCCGGAAGCCCTCCAAGGTGACCGTTCACATGTCACTGCATCTCTGCCCACAGCCCCTCGCGCCCGGAGATTTTCGTCTGGAGGGGAGGACGAGAGCTGGAATCACAGCCTGAACAGGGTACGGCCGTGAGGTTTCCTCCTGTCCCCATCGTCTCTCTGTGCTCTGTGATGTGTGTTTCTGTCTGTTCTTACTCCATCTGAAGCATCTACAGGCAAACGCTACTGCAGCCATTCCTGAGCTCTTGAAAGACACCTCCGTTTGTTTGTTTTTTTCTCCACAAGTCGCTGTCTATTTCCTGCAATTTTTGGTTCTTTACAAGTGACAAATGTGATTTCTGTGCAGAGGCAAACAAAAAAATTTATTGCATTTATGTAACTGCATCCTGCTTCGGTCTATTTTGGAATAACACGCTGTTCTAGTAAATATTTTATGAATATTGCAGTGAAATTTTAAATGAATGACCAGCTGTTGTAGAATGTGATGACCGTCCTGTTGATTCATATCTAATTTCTGAAGATCACAATACAGAAACATATGTGCAGATAATACGAGAGCTGGGTGCACGTCGAGGAGCTCGTCGATGAACCACTTGCTTTGATGTACACTGATCACATACAATATGGGGATAAACTCTTATATTACGGCTTCCTGGTGATTTTCTCAACAAGATTTTACTGCCAAAAGCAGTACAACTCGGATAGTGTAAAACATTAACAACGGAGCAGTTATTTTTACTATTAAATGCATAAAAAGAAATAAAGGAATTCAGGGAGGGAAAACCACTTTGGGAACGAGGGGGATTTTTGCGTTGCCACTCCCTTGCACACAAACCTCTCCCTGCGTGACTCACTGGTTCATCCCATTCCAGATCCAGGGTGGAATTGGCAGGATGATCCTGAAGGAGGAGATGAAAGCCAGAACAAGTTCCTATGACAACGACCCCTGGAATAATGCGCGCAGTTCCCGGAGCAGCAGCAAGGAGACGCTACACAGTATGGGCTACAACTACACCATGAATGGCTGTAAGGAAGCCACTCTCAGCCATAGACGTTGAAGATTGTATGAGAGCATTCATAATGCATAATAAACATGGCTATAGCATGTTGTGCCTTGTTTATAATGCTTTATAAATGTGTTCATAGATGAAAACATGGCCTTAAGTAAAGTGTTACCAAAAATGGTGCTGGATACTTAGAGCTGCAGTCCAGCAGAGACCTTTCAGCAAACAGCCTTCGCTTTACACTCAGAGCTCTGCAGCCGCATCCCAGAGTACCGTTCGCGCTCGTTGGTGACGTACATCTGCTCCCAGCCACGCTCCATAAATCCAGCCCAGGGCAGACAGACCCGTAATGGGGCGGCGAGATCAGTCAGAGCAAGGAGAGACCTTCTGGCTGCAGTGAAAAATCTTGGGTGATACCAGTTATGATTCTATGAATATGTGATCTCTGGAATAACAGCAAGGGCCTCCCCACTCAGAGGTGGTTGGGGGCGGGGGGGTATTATAAAACCTTCCCTTGTTTGTGAGAGTTCTGGGCTTTTCACTCACCTTTCTAGAACCTTCCTAAGGAAATCGATGAAAACTAAATCACTATTTCCTGGCAATGATTGTCCATCCATTCTCAGCTTCAGAATCTCCCCTCCGAAGCCATATAATGGTCTAATCCGGTCAAAAATCTCATCCGTTTGCCCTGACTTTATCTAGAGTGACCGACCCAACTTTTGGTCGAGGGGCTCCAGGATGTCAGATAACCCCCCCACCCCAGAGCCTCACGAGTGTTTCTATTGCTACCATAGTGCGCCCTACATTCACACGTGCTGCACTGAGCTGTCTGATTGGTCATTTTCGATCTTGATGATAATCCAGGCCAAAGGGTTACAGTGGGCTCCTCAGATCAGGTCAGGGATAGCGCCTCCCCATGGCAGCCTGGGGTAGTGCGGCCGCTAGGACTATACGCAGCCTTCATCTCTCGTAGTAACAGGTTAGCAAAAGACCCCGTGACTTCAGACTGACGTCAACTGTTTCAGACTCCCGAGTAACGGGAACTGCACACTGTAATTACCCCAGTGAAAATGTAGCCCAGCCAGTGGTTAGTGTAAGCGCAGCACTGCATCTGGGACGCCGGGGGGGGGGGGGGGTGTGCGACGTGGGCTATTTTGCGTAAATCCCCTGACAGCAGCTGTTCTATCTTGGATGACCTTTATTGCATTCCCGCAGGAGGGTTCTCCGAACCAGGCCTGCTGAGATCGTGCGGCTTCTTTAAGAAACTCAAAAGAAGAAGCTGTTTCCCTCTGAATATCGTTACTATACTGGATGTAAATGGATGTCTGTGGTTCCGTGTGTGTCTGAGTGTGTCGGTTACGTATATATTACATTGTGGGGATCAAATTTCCCTACAATGTGATAAATACCTGTTATTTTGATGCTGCGGGGGCCATTTCGTCCATACCCACAAGGGGGGATTCAATTTCATAAAATCTGTGACTGCAATCCAAAAACTAAAAATGCCAAAAGACCTGTATTTTGTTTGCTTACTTATGGTTATGGTTAGGGCTGGGTAGGGGTTAAGGTGGTCATAGTTAGCATTAGCATTTTTCCCATAGAAATGAATGAACAGTCCCCAAAAAGATATGATTACACGACTGTGTGTGTGTGTGTGTGTTTGGGGCTGCTTGCATGGATCTAACAGGGTGCCTTTTCTACCTCCTTCCCCTCAGCTCCGCGCTCACGCTACAGCATGGACAGCGGTAAGTGAGTCATCCCGGGGTCAAAGGTCACATTGGGGGAGGAGCGACCCAGAGCAGGCCTGGACATCAGCAAACCAGAGCCGTGCACATGAAATCGGTGTCTTTGTCTGTGCGATCATGTGGTCTGTGTGCAGCCTAGCATTAGACTCCCAGGACAGAGGGCCAGTGAGATGGGCCATTGTTTTCAGGGTAGCAAGTAAGCGGTGGCCAATATTTGGGAATAAGGCCTTTATCCAATCATACACAGGGCTTTTATTTAAAGGGGAGAATTGGAAATTGAATGCATGCTGTGTAGTGAAACATTAAGCGCCAGTAGAATAGCTTTTATTATCCCGGGGTATTTTCACATCATTCCCCAGCTGGACTGTAAGCGTACGTATAAACATCCACCTCCCCCACAATGGTGTCGAGTTTACCCCCATTCTCCAAATTGGCATCTTCTGGTGTCGCCTCAGCCCTCGCCAGTCAAACAGGGTCGTCCACCGTACCTGTGACTGCCCACTGTCTGCTTGGCGTTTAGCAAACTATGACACGCCTGCCTTTCTTCTCCTGCAGGCTCCTACGTCTCAAAGTCGGCATCGTTACCAGGATATGGCCGGAACGGGCTGCACAGGGTGAGGCTGGTGGGCCGGGGGAGGGAGTGGTGGGCATGGTTATCCAAATTCTACAGTCTCATTATGATTAATGAACATAATAATGTTTTTTTTTTTTCTGGAGCAAATTGCTACATATTGTAGCTCAATAAGTAGGGCAATGCACTAACAACACAAGGGTTGTGGGTACTGATGGACAAAACCACGCTTCATGAACCATTGATGGTGCTCTTGGTTTGCTTTGTGCCCTTTTGTGAACAAAGAGCACCATCTAGTGGGCTCAAAAAATACAGCAAATGGTTCATGAAATATTATTTTGTCAGTAGTTGTTGGTTCAAATCCCAGGGAGTGCACATAAATTATTACCCTTCCCTCTACTGTAAGTCGTTTCGGATAAAAGCACCAGATAAATGTATGTAAAGTAAATATTAGCTTAATGTACCGTCTTATTTGAAGATGGATGGATGGATGGATGGAAAGAAACTTCACAGATCTCAGAGGAAATCACAGGGTTATTAAAGCGGTTCTTCTGGGCCATTTAGCGCCGTCCAGCTCCGTCTTTTCAGCCTTCTTCCTTTCCCCGCAGCCTCACAGTGCGGATTTCTTTGAGCACAGCAGTGGCGACACAGAGAGCTGGGGATTCCGAGGTAGGCAGCCGGCTTGCAGTGTGAGCGGCCTGTTTCTAGCACGGCTATTCGTACGCGATTAGCATCTATGGTCTATTAAAGATTAACATGCTGTGGCCGAGCAGTGTGCTGTGCAGCTAAAATATCTATGTGCTCATTCATGTGGTGAGCTTCTGTAAGAGTATTATAATCATCTGGGTTTCTCTCTCTTTTTTTTCCCTTCCAACAGATTACAGGGTACGTATCAATATTTATGGAACAGGAAGTCAGCAGTGTACAATCAGAGAGCCAGGGCCCACAGAAATGTGAGAGGCGGGCTAGTTCTGACTGAGAAAAGCATATTGAAATCCTAAGGAGGGTTGCGTCGTTGCTGAGTGTCAGTAGCTATACTGCCCCTTAGGAAGCGAGTCCCACTGTAAGGTCACAAGGTAAAGAGACATTTCCTGGACTCTTACCCAGAGATAATCAGCATCAAGCCCGTGTCTGCAGGAGAGCACGTATAGGGGAATCTTTTGGCCAGTATGCCTTGTTTGGATGGCTGATTTTTAGTGGGTTCTCTAAGACGACTCCCTGGGTTAAAATAAAAGACATAAAATGACGCCATATCATATTCATATGATGAGTTTGGCTGAGCCACATAAATGTGACTTTAACCGAAGCTTTATCACGTTGTTTAAAGGCCTGTGGTGTCATTTACTTCTTAACATCATGTTCCTACAGATTTATCCTTACAAAGCGCTGGTAGTGACCGCTAGGGGGCAGAACAGACTGCCGAATGATGTAGACAGGGCAAGGTTAGAGGTAAGTGCCAAAAGACCTGTGTAATTAAACCATTTTAACTGTCTAAATAAGCTGATATGAATGAAAAATCGATGTAACCCAATATTCCTTATATATATACAGTAACTTAGAGAAATATACGGAAGATTTTTTTCGGAACAGAAATCCCTAAAACCACAATTCCCTGCTCTTATTACTTCCGGCTACCAGCGTCATTTATCACCTGAGGAATTTTACCAAGTGTTTGGCATGACGGTGGTGGAGTTCGAGCAGCTGGCCCTGTGGAAACGGAACGAGCTGAAGAAGCAGGCGAGACTCTTTTAGCACAGGTGGAGAGTAGCTCAGAGAAATGGAGCAGGCCTGGACTCACGGCTTGTCCCGGCTGAGGGAACGGCGCCGTATCAAGGTCCGTAAAACATCCCGACGCGGCCGCACAGGAAAACCAGACGGCCGCTCACGAAGAGAGAGAAGGCGGCCCGAGACGGAGGTGCCGTCCCCTTCCATCGGATCGACTGCCACCCGCTTCTCCTTTTCTCAATCTTCTATCCAGTCTTCTACTCTTCGACCGCTGCAGTGACGTTTCACTAGTTTTATGCAGAAACTGGATTTGCCTTATTTTAGGACAGTGAAGGACATACCAGCAAAAGGTGAATGTTTATGTTATATGAGCCATATCAAAATGTTGGAGCTGATGATTCCTCCTAACGAAGTACATTTATAAGCGACATCACCGAGACATTTTCTCATTTGTGGGAAAAAAAGACAACAATGTCTTAATTAATACAAGGAGTGCTAGAGACATATTTTATCATTGGAATAATAAATTTGTGCTTTAAACATGTACTTCCCTCAGTAAAAATGTTTTGATTTGTATAACAATCAAGATGAAAAATGCATCATGGAAAATTTATTTTCGAAGCATCACTTGGTGAATGTGAGTGTGTCAACCATTGTTTAGATTTTGTTATTTTTCAGTATTATTCCTTTAATTCTTAAATTAAGTGAATGTATGTTGAACTGTGTGAAACTATTGGGGACATAATCATTTCATCTGGCATAATTTTAACACTGTGCTCAGTATAACGTATGACTGGATTTTATTGATCTTTTCATGCTTTTTAGCACACAAAGAATGGAAATGAAGCTTCATTTAATATATACTTATTTATTTAAGCTTTCTTATAAATTAATCTGGATTTTTATTCACCCATTACTCTGTCATCATGCCCACGAATTGCAATAATAAGGCTCATCACACCTAATGACTCTAATAAAACATTATGCACCTAAGATTTAAATTTTTTTCTAAATTGATTTATTTACATTTTTTTTTACTCTGCTTATTGCATGTTCACTTTTTATCTTGCATTTAATTTAAATTTTTCCTGCATCATGAAATGAGAAAATATATGATTACATTTTCGGGCAAGAAAAATGAGAAATATGAAATGCTTTTCTGAATGCCTTTATCGGGTGATTTTATGGTGTTGAATAATGTCAGAGGTAATTAAACTTTTGTGTATAAGAACATCTTTAGCTATATTCTTAGCTAACACTAAAGTAATTCAGCAAACTTTATACTGCTTAATAGCAAACGTGTTTGTTGACATGCTTAGGCCCTGAATAATTACTCTATAATCGGCTGGAAACAATTGACTCACTGATTTTTTTTCTTTTTTCATTTAGTTCTTAGCATTGTTACAGAGAGCTTTTTAAACGCAAACAGGGGTCAGAGTTGGCCCTTTTGTACTCTTCCACAATCGTTACTTTCTTCCATTTACGTTTTTGTATCTGAATGCAGAAATCTGACTCTACTTAATATGTCAGAAGTATTAGTCACACACTTATGTGTTATTTCCAATAAAAAAGCTTTTCATGCCTAATTATGTATTTGTAATCATTTTATATTTTTCTAAATGAAGTCATTGAGTGTATTGTGCTAAATTGCTCCACTAAAATTATATGGAAGATTTAATGAAAGATAATGAGACTCGGTTAATAACAATATGATATGACCATTATAAAGACAATAGCTAAAGACACCAAGTGTATAATTTAATGCAAAAAAAATAAATAACTAAAGATATTCTGTAAGTGTACACAGCCTGAGAATTACTTTAATTAAAAAGTAGTGCTGGAATATATATGTGCACAAAATATATAATATCGACGAATTCTTTCCTTAGAAAAGGGTTCACATTTATCTTGTCAGCTCAGTCCAGAACGACCTTGAATTGTACGGTCTGATAAAATCTTGTAGGCATTTACCCTGGTGCTTGGCGGTACCAGTGTATCTGAGGCGAGCCCTCACTGGCCCCCCAGCGGAAAAGGGGCGCAAAGGACCGAGAGCTGAGTCAGTGCAGAACGCCGGCGGCAGTTATGGAGCTTTTGGGTCAGTCAGGAATCAGAAACCGGCCCCACCGAGGCGGATTACTGGGACGATAGAGCGTGAATCTCTTGCTTTTACTTTTCGTTATAAACAAGAAGAAAAACGTGTTTTTGATAAACAGAAATGCCGATTAAAACTCAGGTTAGACTCACAGTTTATTATTATTATTATTATTATTATTTATTATTTTATTATTATTATTATTATTATTATTATTATTATTTATTTTATTTTATTATTATTATTATTATTATTATTATTGTTGTTGTTGTTGTTGTTGTTGTTGTTGCTTTCTTTACCCAGGAGAAGCGCTCGTCTTCGGGTGACCACAATGTTAGCATTAGGACCCTGTGAGTTTATAAAGGGAGAAGGAAGTAAGATGCCCACACTTTGAATGACTCCATTAACATCTGCCGCTTGTACTGCGCACGGGGTTGCATGTCTTGCCTGGAAGCCGCTGCTGGTTCCCTGCGATAGAAACTTCGGGATTTTTCCTGCATGGACGCGGCTGCTGGCAGCTGTAAGTGTCCGATGCAACAGTGTCTGTCATATTCGTGTTTGTTGTGCGGTAATAATCGTGTTAATCGGCTGTTGGCATGTTGTGCAATTATTTACAGCAAAAAATGCGTAACTGCGACGGACTACAGCTAGTGATTTACGACTGAATCGTTACATTGTTCGTAAAAGTTAAGCACAGCTCATTTTAATTTGGTGAACTTTATGGAACATAAAAATATGTTTTATTTTCTACATCTTGATAATATTCTGACGGATTGAATCGTGCTTCCCGTAATATTGCAGGTGTTTGGAATCATTCGGGTGACTTGAACTGGTTTTAATGCTCAGCCGACTGAAATTATAACGTGTTGCTCTCGACTATGAAAAAGTAATCATCAAGATAGGCGGTCGGACAATATATGCATCTATATAGCCTAGAGTTTGTATTGAATGGACGTTTAATTCTGTGGTTCTTATTTCTGGGATTTTTGCGGTGTCGTATTTATAAAAACTCGAATGCTAGCATAACTAGCCAGAACACGTCTGCTTCATTACACCTGCACTGTCAGAAAAAAGTACCAATTTGTGCCTTTGAGGGTACAATTACTTGTCAGTGGGGCTGTACCCTCAAGGGTCTGCCAATTATACCCTAGCTGCAGGTAAATGTAACTTTAAATGTACAGAAAAGGACTCTGAGGAATATTTTTGCACCACTGCTGGTTTGTTAATGATGTATGTACCTTGGGGAACAAAACCATACCAGGGCTGTACCCTTTTTTCTGACAATGTATGAACATTTAAAATAATCAGGACACTGTTGTTAAACTGTGTAACAGCTTTTCATACTAATTTAATGATTGCTTTCATCCATTCCTATCCTGATGAGGAATGCGATGTTTAAATTGACCGCTGTATCCATACAGTTACTGTTATGTGTACATCAAAAGGACAGGCATTCTTACGGCTTTGTGTGCGTTTCAAAACAAGCCCTGTGTTTTGTTATTGCGCATGGGTGTTTATCTGGGATACAATGGAAGACAAGTTACATCTGGAACAGACTCCTACACTTTAAGAAACCAGAAGGTCGCCTTCAGGAAAAAGTACGAGCTCCCTCAAGTGATTTTTAACATTTCAGCCAAAATATTTTCGGCCCAGCATTTAATTTGTTTTTGTTACTTTGTTTGTTTGCTGTACGATGGAGTTATGCAGTAAGGACATATTGAAGTGTCGAGAGGCAGAAAAGGAAGCAAAATAACTTCATTTCAAATATCAGATCTCATCTAATCCATTCATTCCACTCTAAGCAAATCTGTTAGTGCTTTTACTGCAGCTGCATTGCATGCCGATATATGATTTTAAATACAGTAATCGCATCAAATGCACTTAGATTTGTTCATGCATCTTTCTGGAAAGTTCTAAGAGGCTTTATGTTGAAGGAAAATTATTTTATTCTTCATAAAATGATTACTGTTGTCAATCAATTAATGCTTTAATAAGGCTATAAATAACACTTTGCCTCTCTTCTGATGATTGATATTTAAGTTGTTCTAGTCCACAAGCCTCTGTGTCGTCACACCTCTGTGGTCATGTAGGATTGGCCTCTCCGCTCGGTCATGACGTTGGATTTCCTCTCCATGAACGTGGGCCTGGATACTCCAGTCGTTCACCCCTCTGCCGTTTACGAAACCCCAGGAGAAATCCTGGGCCTCTGCCCTCCCCCTCCCCCCACCCCTTCCATCTCGTGCATTTGCCTGTTGTCTACGTTTGCTAAGCTGCCGTTAATAGCACCATAACCGAGATGACGGCTGTATCTCATCGCTCTTCATCACAGCTGCAAACCGGTTTGTGACTATGTAGAAAGCGTACGATGATGCGTGGTGATGATTGCGATGCTGATTTTTAATAATGCATTAACAAAATGAATAGGACGGGATGCTTTGAGTCATTAAAATAGCTTTTCTACCAATCCTTAGCCAGTATAGTGTGATAACACTGAACAACAACACGTAACTGCCTATTACGATTCAGGGTGAAGTTTTCTTAATTTAATTGCTGTTTTCATCATCGATAGACAAGGCCTGATTTAAAGTTCCATTTAACAGCAGCAATGAAAGCAAACAGTTCCTTCTCTATACTTCTTGCTTTGAGCTGCAGAGTGAATGAACCTTCAGATGCATTGATACTTTTATGATATTTGTGGACAGAAGGACAAAGCTGCTACTCTGATTGGCTGCTGGATTTACAAAGAGTTTTAAAGAGAAAAATGTACAGCATGCATAGATGTGAAGTGAAGTCATGTATGAAGCTTTGGCAGCAGGGAGACGACGGCCGGGCTGAAGCGGATCCTTGTCTGGGGAGCTTCTGTCTTCTCTGGAAATGTCAGTTTGAGCTGGAAAAAGTGAGCGATAACCGGACACTTACGAGACCTCTGCCCAAGGACTGATCTTGGGGTCACTTAGCAAACGCCATTTCTCATAGCCGCCGAACAAAACTGGGAGATTTCGTCTGAACGTTTTCTCAGTATGGTGCTTGATCGTTTCACCTACCATCCCATGTGAGGTTACCCTACTTCCTCTGTTCCTTCTCTTTATTATAGACGTAAGCGCAGGATTCCTAACAAGCACCGGGATCAGCTGCTTGCAGACAAGCCTCGGCTCCTGTTCGCTCAACTTCCGAGCTTAATTTCTCCCCGCGTTTCTGGATTCTTCCTTCATTCCTGCTGAGTTTTTCTTCAGTCCCTAGTCTCTAGAGAAAGAGCCAATTGAAGTCAGATGTTTACATACTTGCGTCTAGTGTTATTCGAAATAATTTTCAAGTCTTTACGGTGCTATGAAAACATCCAGTAATAACATGAACGTGGGCTTAACATGAACGTGACGTAAGACCTCTCCATTTCCCGGCTTAGCACCTCCACGGTGATGTTCCCTGATTAGGTTCCATTTTGCATGCATCACCAACTACACGCCCAGATAAAAATACTGTCCATGTAAACTACAGGATGGACAGAGACAACTTTTTTTCCCATGAAAGCAGAACAGGAAGGTTGGGACGATTGTTCATGTCTGAGTCATGGTTTTGAGCTATTCCTCCCGATGGCTTGTTTGGGCAGTTGGCGTGTCTCCTGTGTCTCTTTCCCCTTCCTGTTGACACCTGCAGTGTTGGGATCTTCCACCTTCTATTTCAGGGCTTCACAGATCAAAGCTTTATGTATATAAAGGGTTGTGTGTTTGAATCCCACCTCCAGCGTTTGCACGGGTTTCCACCTGCAGATAAAAATTTGCATCTCTGAATTTTGTGAGCCTAGGGATGGGCTTGCATCCCATCCAAGATGTTTCCTGGAATAGGTTCCCGGCCCATCGTGACCCAAACTGTACTCAGCCAGGGCGAGCTGGTAGCACTGTAAGTAGTTCCTGCCAAACGTGCTTTCACCGGAACGTAGACACCAGATGTTATAAAGCACTGTTTCTGTCATGGTAAATGCCAGAAAATAATCACTGGTTTTGGAATTTTGGGCGAGCTTAGGCTTTAAGAATTTGTGCATTGCTTTGTGATGTTATTGAAAGGCAGAATGTTTCATGTATACCAATGAACCTTCTCATGCAGGCAATATGATCAGCGTCGGCACGTTTGTCTCTGCTTGAAATGAGAGGGAACTGCACAACGTGAGGCAGAAAGGTGGGAGAGAGGGCGTAAGGATGCCGTTGTTGGGTCTAATGTAACGCCATTCATCTTAAGTTGGTTATAGGTGCTTGTGTGTCTTGGAGAATGCACAAGAAACACAATGCAAGGCTCTGGAAGGCAGGAACAGGAAGCAGAAGGTGCAGGGAGATACAGGCTTCCTTCAGCCTGCACAGGAAACAGCTGCGGGACCTATCCTTCTACCCAGAATACACCTGGGCTACACAGATACGCTCATCTTTTCTGACTATCTGTGTTTTCTGCTTCTACGACAGTGTTTCGCTGAGACTGTTGCTTTGCAGCGTTTTGCTGTATTCGGGATGGCATCACACGCCATTGGTGAATGATCTGGCAAGCAGGTCAAGGCAAGGGTGTTTGATTGGACGTGTTGTTCAGCTGAGCCGGGGCCCGTGTTAATATCGTCCCGTCTCATTGGCTCTGAGTACTGTGACTTGGCTTTATAGGGGCAGTGGGGAGGGACAGTGCTGTGGTTGGTTTTGCTGAGTGTGTTGGGGTCAGATAAACTGACCAGCATGTTGGGGGCGGGAATGTAGGGGTTGTGGGCATGGGGCTTGAAGGGGGGGCTGGTAGGATGTCGACTGGGAAGGGGGGTGGCTTGGATACTCCATTTTCAGCACCAAAGTATTCTCACACAGACAATGGACCGCCGGGGTCCCCTAGAGACCTCGAGCCATGGGTAGTAGCCGTTCAGTACAACAACAGAGACATCCTACAGCACGCTTTCATCAGATTAGCCTTCTGCTAACTTTCCGTTCCTCCTCCTCGCCAGCCTTCGTCCACACACTCAAAACAGTATTGTGAGTCGTTTGTTTTCTTTGTCTCATTTCATTCATTCAAGGACAAATATAAATATTCTGTTGGGGGGGGGGGCAGCCGTTTCTTTGAAGAATGGAAAGCCATACATGATTAGGCTACTCATTGTGTGTAAATTTAGAAGCCATACATAGCAAGGCACCTAAAGCTGGTGTAAAAATCACTCGTTGAAACTGTCTCACAATTTTCTCTGGAATATGGTGGGCATTTCGTCCCCCTCAGCTGTTGCCGTTGGTAGATTCCATTTTCTCTCTTTTTGTCTGTCATTGGAGGATTTTCTAGGACAGATGTGTTTGTGCGCCTAATTGAGCAAATGATCTCCCTGTCAAGGTTTAAAAAACCTATCGATTCCAGCTTTCACGGCCCAGGACGCGTGACGATTTTGTGTCCAGCCTGCTAAACGATTAGGCTTGCTTGTGTTCATGCAAAATGACAGTTTAGCTTTCGGATCTATTGAGAACAAGAAGCAAAAGATCGATCCAAACGAATTTTAGTTAGCACTATGAAAACGTCATTAACCTAACATCTGTGTGGATTTTCACTGTTGCAGTTGAGCATTGAGGGCTTCGTGGTTACCTGTGTCTTGTTGACGGTCTCAGGATGGGGAACCATTGTTCCTGTTCACATGCTGATGGGATTACAGGGTCTGCTTATCATACACTGTGGTTCTGGAGTTGAAGTGTAATGGAAACACTGAAAAAGAACATCTGGATTCAGGGCAGTGTGTTACAGGAGCACCGTACCATGGAACAGCCACTTGATAATAGGTTGCTGAAGGCCCGTCATCTCCTCTTATTAATGCGTAGGGAACGATGAGTCATGGCAGCTGTTCTCCATGCCTCCCTCCGATAACATGCTTCTGATTCCTAGAGAAGTATAGAAATAGAATCCTGATGCTTTTCCAGAGGTGCTGTACCAAAAAACCCCATAATGGATTCTTTGTGCGCTCTGCAGATTTCGATTCAACGGACGGTGCAGAATGGATGCTCCCTTAGCACTTCCTCCTCTTTCATGAGGAATTTGGCCGAAACAGTTCGCCCATTGTCTGTGCACTGCTGAGGAGTTTTCGCTGGGGATCGGCATATAAAATCGATTCGGGCCTTGCCCAGTCACGCCTGTTTACGGCGTTACACTGTCAGCCGTTCACATGGATGCTTTAGGCAAGTTTGTCCAGCCAATGCTCCAAAATTTCCAGATGTCCTGTGGCTGTGGCGTCAGTGGAGGGGACACCATCTCGCAGGGCATCCCCGAATTGCCAGAAACCGGTTAACTGGGGGAGCTTTGCTCTTGTTTGATCACATCCAGAGCAGACTGTACTTTTTAGATGTGCAGAAATAGATTAACAAGTCATATAATATAGGATGACCACATAATCCACATCATCCTGGACACCTTGAGCTGCTTCAGGTTTTACAAACTACCTTAAACCCCAAAGGCTCCTGTGTTAAATAGTTCAGCTCTTCTTGTGCTTTGATTGGTTAGTTTCCTTGACTGAAAGACGCATCCAGCTGTTTCACAGTAATATTAGTGACACGTGCATGATTATAGGAGACTGACCAATCAGCACACAGCAAGAACTCAGTGCTTAAGGGATATCCAGGTCCTGTTAATTGAAATGGTAGTTTACAAATCCTGTCTCCTCCCTGACATGGATTATCTGGTCACCCCTATATAAAATGCAGATTCATATTTTATGCAGAATGATGAAAGGAGAATCTCCATGCAGGGGAGGAATAAGAGTCAGGAATGAGGAAAATGTGAGGCTGTGCAACAGTATGGACACAGTATCTGGGGGCAGTACTGATTCATAGATGGGAGGGTCTGACCCCATGACATTGTGGTCAGAACTTTGCAAGGACAGCTGGAGAACTGAGAATCTCAGGTTTTCAGAGGAACCTTAACCAGTTTTTTGGGTTTAAAGCAGTCTATCCGATTGAGGACTTCAATCTGGGTTACAATAACCATTATGTAATCTGACAGTAAATCTTTATCGCCCTCATATCATCACTGTAAATCGCTTATTCATGTGGAAGAGAATTTGTCTCCTGGCTATACTGTATTGTATGCTGAAGGCTTTATATTTGCAACAAGACTAACTCAACAACAAGCTTTTGTGTGTCATTAACTCTCGCTAAGGACTGGCCACAGAAAGGATTGTCAAGAGGAATGTGCTTCTGTGTTCTTGGTTTCTTCTGACCGTTGGTTGCTTACAGTGATGGAGCACCTGGTGACGGAGCTGAACGTCTTGCTGAAGCTGCTGGACCAGGAGACCCTAAGTCCGGCCACGGCGGAGAAGAAGGCGGCCGTCATCCACCTGCTCAGACGGCTGCCACCTTCAGGTGGGAGGACTTGGCGGCACCTCCTCCAAGCGTCCGTGGCGGATTCTGCCGCTCTCTGGATCATGTGGTCCTCTCCGGTCTCCAGAGAAGCTACAGAACCACAGTAGCTCAGGAGGCGGTGGTCCTCTATCTCTACTAGGAGGCTCAAAATCACACGACCTCCACAATAACACTGGATCTGACGTTAGTATAACTATTAAGATACATATTCGCTATTTCAGAGAGATCAGTGCAACAGCGGCACCAGATGTTAATCTCATTTAAATCTATGGGAACAAATTCTCACCTCTGTATCTTAGGATATTAAGAGAAATATCTGTCTTCAACATTGTAAAGGAAACCAGGTCCTTCCTGTCCAGGGGTTCAGTCTAATGAGTTCAGTGGCGTCATGTCTGGGCCTGATGTGGAGGTCATGTGATTTCCGGCCCCACAGTGGAGATCCTCCTTGTCAGTCCCTTCTCCAGTAGACGGGTAACATAATCATGTCATTGCCTCCCTGTCAATGAAAATGATACAGTAGCATGTACTGTAGGCTTGAACCTGAAGGTCGCCCCCTGGAGGGCGTCTGCGGTAGTGCCCCGAAGGGAGCTTCACCTGAAGTGCTTCGGCTGTATAAATAGTTAAAACGTGTAAGCGCCCAAAAAGCAATTAAGCGTTAAAAACAACAGTCTGCATGAATGCGAGATGGCGGTCGGGCTGTCTGCCGTGCCGCTTGGTGGAGTGTCCAACCTGCTGTACCCACTGGGAGGTGTCTGCTGTTGCCTGAAGAAGTAACATCTCTGGGTTTATTCAGTGCTTTTCGATATCTGTTGCAGTCAACGGGGCTGATGGCATATACATGAACACCGCGTTCCAGGGGAACGGCACGAGATTCGTGGAATCCCTCTTTGAAGATTTTGGTAAGGAAGTGGTCGGTTTTGGCGGCTAAACACTGGGTCTCGGTTTACTTTTTTGCAGTTGTTGTTTTGTGAGAAAACAAGTATGCCGGCCATTCCTGCGAGGAGCTGTGTTTTTAGAAAACAGTTAGGGTAGATTTTTATTACAGTTTCAGGCAATGTGAAATCAATATCTTGAGCTCTTGGCAGGACAATAAGCCACGAGAAAGAGAATATGAAAATGAAAGGCTCTGTCATTCGGGGGCAGGGTGTGGGAGCTGTCACACGATGATGCGTCTTTATTAACGGTGTCTGTAAACACCTCAGATTGACGGGGTTTTGCGGGAGATTGAGGAAATTGAGAATCCACAAATAACTGCTTTCTCAAGTTCCCCGAAGTCCTTACAGGTCTGGAGATTATCTCTCCCGGATCACTCCTGTTACGTTTTAAGACATTTTAAGTTTATCAGTTGACAGCGGTCGTGAGTAAGGATGAGTGTGCATTTCGTTTGAAAAATAATTCGCTAGGTGGGAACCTGTGGCGACCTGTTGTCACGGCAACTTGTCGCTACAGCAGCGTGTTGGTGAAGCCACATCCCTCATATTTACCAACATCCAGCTCAGAAGCAGACTTTGTCAAGGTAAAAGCACGGTTGTGTGACTTCACTAACTTCTTATCTCTGATCCTTCAGACTGTGATTTCAAGGATTTCAGTAATACAGAGAAGCCAGAGGAACAGAAGAGGGACAGCACTGTCCCCTCGAAATCAGTAAGCGGCACCCTGTCACTGAGAAACAAAGCAACCTGAAAGACTGTTTGGGTCCTGTGAATATTTCGTTTTATTTCAGGTCTGCTTAACACTGCTGCCATTCCCAGCTGGCTGAGCCTCAGATAGCACAGTGTACTGTTCCCAGATCAGATAAGGGCTGCCATGATCTTCCGTGTGTGTGTTCCCTTATTCTGCAGAGTCTAGAGGATTCACCGCCCCCTCTGCCCACCACAGCCCCCCCAGAAGAATACTACGAGGTAGCTGATCCGATTGGTCCAGACTGTGCCCCCCAAACCATTACCCCCCGGAGTGAGTGCAGACACATTTAACTCTTATCCTAAGACTGGCCAGTTACGTAGGGGCCAGATCCAAGACATGGCGTTTATGAGTAACTAAACTTTTCTGTGTCGTCTGTGGCTCTCGCAAATCTCCCAAAAACTCCTACAAAATCCCCAACGTAATTTCGTATGGCGACACCGCGATATATCGAAACCGCGATGGGGACAGCAGCGATGCAGCAGGATCGATTGGTGATAATATACAAGGCTGGCTATAAGCAGGATAGGAGAACGTGAAATGATCAGTGGGGGGGTGGGGGTGGGGTGGGGGGTGTGTAACAATGCAGCGTGGCATTAAATCATTTATTAATGTTAACACTAGAGGGCACAACTGGCATAATCTCAGTTTTGCTTTGATATTCTATTTTTGCATGTTTGCACTGGAGTCTGTAGAATAAGGAAAAGGCTGCAAGAAAAAATAAATGGTTTGAAAACAGTGTTTTTGTAAACGTTAATGCCTGAGAAGGAATAAATAAGACCTGTGGCATCTTAGGTTTCTTCAGTCTTATTTTGTTGAATATGTTGTGAGTATGTCAAATTGTGAGCCCTGAATCGTCTGTCGCAGTGTTTCCCAATCTGGTCCTCGGAGACCCACAGACAGGCCACATTTTTGCTCCCTCCCAGTTCCTGGGAGCTGGGAGGGAGCAAAAATGTGGACCGTCTGGCAAGGGGTTGGGAGGGAGCAAAAATGTGGACCG